ATGGACAGGTCTGAAAGCTCGAACATATACCGACTTTCAGGCTACTCTGGAGTGACCTTGAGCCACTCGTTTTAAATACCGGACGTGGTGGGGACTTTCAGGTTTAGCAGTCGCACTCCGTACCGCACCCAGGCCATATTGTGTGCTCCACTCCCATTGTATCCTTTATATTTTCTACCACAGGCTGCAGATCGTGAACAGCATTAGGCCCAATGACCAACTTCATTCGGCCGCGCTAGTCCCTTTTTTAGTTGTACTCCTCAATAATCACGTACTCGGAGTCTGTGCATCTCTGGCCCAGGTCTCTAGTCAAAAGTCATCTGTGCTAGCGACCAAAGTCTAGGTTTGTTCAGCGGCTGGAAGATGTACTGTGCAGCATTTTATTTTCATTTGGATATCAGAGCATAAAGACATACTATGGCAGGGGGCGCTCACCGATCGTTTATACTGAACTCACTCGTTCCGTTGTGCCGTAAGGGCTCTCTCTCTCGAGCCCAACCAGCAGCCGCATAGTGGCGCATGATATAGGCAGGATGCTATTACCGACAATATCATTCGGCCTATATATCGTGCGCCGCTGTGCGGCTGCTGGTTGGGCTCGAGAGAGAGCCCTTAAGGCACAACGGAACGAGTGAGTTCCGTATGAACGATCGGTGAGCGCCCCCTAACATTGAATATTCCCGATCGAAAACCGACAGGGCAACGGACTCGTGGCCCGGTGGGTAGAGGCGTGGACTTCTAAACCAACAGGTCGTGAGTTCGAGGCTCGGATGTTCCACACTTCGGGCTTGGGTATGGTTGGCTTTCCAGTCTCCCTTGTCTTTGCCGGTAATATCATTCTGCCTATAAATACATACCTCCATTCTTTCCTGTTTCTACACACTCATAGATCATGTACTGTACCCTCGATACTGGCAATGTGGACATGGATAAGCTACTCAGTAATCAGCTGGCCTTCAACCACACCATCTACGTCCACGTCCGCGGTCAAACAAAGGAAGTGCGCTTTACCAAGAAGGCGGAGAAGCTGGGCATCACACTGGCCGATAATAAGGCCGGTGGAGTCTTCATCAAGCGTATAACTCCCGGTGGCGTGATGGATGAGGTGGTGCAGACTCGGGCCCATTCAATAGCGCCTGGAGACATGATCGAGTGCATCAACGGACGTGCCTTTTCCCAGTGCCGTCACCTAGACGTGATGCACTACCTCAAAGCCCTGCCCGTTGGCAGTGATATTGTCCTCCGACTCATCTCGCCCGAAAAGAGCCTCCTTCGTAAGTAAACCTGTGTGCGCGCGAGGGCACGTTAGGGCCCAACTTCCCATAAAAAATATTATCAGTCATTTCCATTTTTCTTAAGCATCTGGGTTTCTTCATTTCGACCTTAAGAACACCGGTCGTGGACTATGAGAAAGGTGAATATTGGAGTTTTCGGTTCTTGGGGCCCAAAAGTAGGAACCAAGGCAAGCACATACGGCTGACTCATATTCAGCTGAGCGTAGCGGACTGCCCTCAGAGTTAATGTGTGAACCAGATCCTCTGCAGGTTCCATCAAATCTCAGTCTGTGGAAGGCATGAAGTATAGTAAATGTGCCTCCTCATGAATTCATATTGACCCAACCGTGCAAAAATCGGCGCCTCGATGGGATTCGAACATACTGTCTACAGCCGACTCGCTCTTTTATTGATAGATGAGACCTTGTTAACGGGCAGCGTCATGATCCACACCCTCTTACCTGCGCTATAAAGTTAGTTGAATAATCGAAAAATTAACATATTTATCTGTTCTAACAAGCATACAGTACCTAAAGAACTAGATGATGTTTACATTGACGCAGAGTGACACGATAAAAGTAAAATTATGTCGGGAATGTGACCGCCGTCGACCCTGAGTTCCTTCCATTCTCGGCATCTCAATTCTCTGCTTGCGCTATCTCTTCTTCTGCTTAACCTCTCTTTTCAACATTAGCTCACTATTCCTGTCCTCCTCTTGCCTCTTCTCTCCATACTGTTCCTCCTGCTCCTTCTCCTCGTCTGCCTCCTACTCCTCCTTCTCCTTCTTTTTTTCTTCCGCTTCTTCCCTCCTCCTAATCCTCCTCCTCGCCCTCTTCCTCCTCATGTTTTCATACCTCCATTGTTTTTTCCCTTCCCACTTCCAAATTAACTGACCTTATCGTATTCTTGCACAATTTTTATGTCAATTTTTGTGCTTATACTCTTATTCAAGTTGTTCTTCCAACTCAGTGGTCTTCTTGTTCCTCCTAATTCTTTTTCTTTATTCTAATTTTCTTCCTTCTAATTCACTACTGCTTTCCTTTATTGCACTTTCGTCCTTCATTCTTTTATGCCTTCTTGACATCCTTTTCTTCTCCGCCTTCTTTTCCTCCCTGCATCTTCCTGGTTGCCGCAAACGCTGAAGGAGTTCACTGACCCCATGGGATGCATCCAATACCGGTAGCTTGTGTGTATGAGAGAGAGTGTGCTTATGGTAAAGCGGACCTCTGTTGCGCCCATTTCATCGCTCTTCCCACACCGACCCCATTCTGATGGCGAGATAAAGTCAATGCGATGGGAGGTGGGCACGGACGTATTCGCGGGCCAAACACGGCCGGACCATTTCATTCAGCGCACACTGGATCTCGCTTAACTGGGACTGCTCTAGAGTCCACACTTATAAGGGGCCATCGCAGTTTGACCCTCAGAGGAGGATCGAGTTATCCTGCCAGATGTCAATCTCCCCCTCCCCCACGACTCTTAGTGTGCCAAATGTACTACGGCGGGGAATGCGCTGATTTGCCTTGAGGCTTGATCCTCCGATTTGGGCTTCTCTCTCCCGCCCCCCCCCTCCCTTTTCCATGCTCCAGGTGACTATCCGAGCCGGTCAACCAACTGGTGCTGAGACTGGGCGTAGTGGCTGATGCGGCATGAAGGCCTGCGTCTAGGGCACGCCACCACACCTCTCCGCCATGTAAGACAGTAGGTATGAGGCCCCATGGACTCCGTGCACAACCGGATAAACGCGCGCCGTGGGTTGACCCTTCAGTCCCCTTCAGTTCAGCACACTTGCAGCGCAGTCTGTTGCGTGGAAAAGAAGAGGAAGAAGAAGAAGAAGGAGGAGGAGGAGGAGGAGGAGGAGGAGAAGGCCACGACAAACAGTACCTAAGGAGACTGAATTCAGCCACCAACACGCACACATTACTGCCATGAACCATTTTGACCCTCCTTTTGGTTCAGCGCATCTACACCCTGGCCTTTAGTGGGGGCAGACCATATCGCCGGTTCTAGTCAGGCCGTATGAGATCACATGCATACAAACGGCAGTCCTGTCGATCTACAATTATGCGAATCTGTAGGCAGGCAGGCAGGCAGGCAGGCACACTTATGCATTCACAAAAAGCCTCATAATGTATACAACCGATCCGTTTCCTGGTGTAGGGAGGACAGTTAGAAGTAGATGGTGACTCACCAGTTTCTGGTCGCATTAACACCAAGGAAAACGGGCGAGAAGTAGTTAGATACAATGCGACTAGTCCTCCAACTGGCCAGCCACCCTACAGCATCTAACTCTTGTTACGAATGAACTTTTTGTGCCGAATTTCATCCATCGAACTCGATCAAGTGCCCGCGTGTGTTTCCTGGCTTCACATACATGGGTTGGCCGTCGACGGGGTCACAACTCTTTCCGTACAGTATTCTGGGAAAACAACATATAGCCCGACTTGCACATAAATATCCCCTTGAGCTTTTTCAGCGTCCCTATCAGTACTGTTTACTTCCACATCTTTTTCCTATCGACTCACCTCGCCACGACCTTCCAGTCCATTCATATGTATTTATTATCCACTTTCCCCCAATTTATCGCTCTTCTGCCCTCCCACCGATACCTCCTGGCTATTCTTTCTGCACTGACTGCTGCCACTGTTCCGCCTCCTCCCAGTCTTTTTTATCTTCGCTACTTTCGACATCTCCTCCATACTACTGTTCTCTGTATTTGCCTCTCTTACTTTCTGAGTCTGTAAGTCTTCATTCTGAGATTTCCCTACTTTCGCTGCCCCTGTATTAGCATGCCACTTTGTTGCTCCTCATCCTGCTACCTTTCTTTCTTCCTCTTCTTCTTTGCCTCCTCCTCCTCCTCCTCCTCCTCCTCCTCCTCCTCGTCATCATCTTCCTCCTCCT